CAAGGCTGTTATCATCTTTCGATGTGTTAATAAAATAGTTGATAAACATGAGTGTAAATCATACATGCAAATGGTTTGAAGGAATGAGGAAACCTCAGTCATGAACCTGTGGCTAAGCTGAAGTAGCACCAACCTAATCAGGGCCTCTGGAGCCACTGTGCCTCTCCTAGGTCAGGTCCCCACCCCTGACCACTCCCTGGATTGCTATGTACCCCTCCACCCCGCTTTTCCTTAGGGTTTCATCAGACACATGTTTCTGCTTAAACAGCCAATTTGCTCATTTCTGAATTTTAAATACTTTAAACTTTCTCTCTGTTTCTTTAAGTTTGAAAAAAAATAATTTAGGGCTACTCATATGAGTTTATTCATTTGTCCGGTATCTAAACTGGACATGATCTTCTGTTTTCACTAATTTATCTCTTCATCATTGCAGTTTGTTCACAGGCAATCATGTAAATTTGGATTGAGATCAATTCATCTCCACCAGAAATTAATTCTTCCTGAATACCCATGCTTCTCTCTGCAGAACAGGAATGTCCAGACACATATTATCTGAGGGTGCAGACTGGTGTCCTTGATTAGAGGAGCAGAAAGTACTTGGATACCCTGCCTCTAGCTCAGTATCCTTCAGCATCTGTCTCCAGTGCCTAGTGATACCTCATAGCCATTTGCGACCCCTATTTTTCCCTCACTCTTACCTCTAACGGGCTGTCAGTCTTTCCAGTTACAGATGCCCTGTACCACAGCAATCTGTCCACACTGAATGCCACCTGATTCTCATTATCAATCATCTGGATTATTGAAACAGACTCCTCGCTCACTCCTTGCCTGCTGCCATTCTGATTTGCTCTTACATATAATCCACATTAATGTTTCAGAAGCTTAGCTCCTCCACTTGTCCTTGGCTGGGATTTTTTGCTTGTTTGTTTGTTTGCTTGTTTTGTTTTATTTCCTCATCCATGCCCCTCTCTTACTGATCTAGTCTACCCATACAAATTGCAAGAAGCCAGAGAACTGGTTGAATGGGGGGGGGCGGGATAGGGAGAACCAGAAATTTGTAATAAGGGTACATCTGAGAGCTGAGGTAGCCTGCTTTGGAGAATCAAACTGTGTGAGGGAGGAGGAGAAGAAGCCAATCAGAAGCGCTATGGAACTGTGCTCAGGCCTGTTGCAGACTGCATGAGGAACTGTATAGAATATGCCTCTGAGATGTAAAAGGTCGAGGCCCTGTCCACAAACTCCTGGTCCTGGTAGGTACTGGATTCTTGCCCAGGGATGTGAACACTTACAGTTCTGGACTGCACATGCAATGGCTGAAACTCTTGCTCTACAGACAGTCCCAGACAGAAAAGTAGATACTGGAGAGTGAGATGCAATACAGTTGGCATGCATGAGAGCCTCTGCCATAACTATGGTTCTCCTTTGTCTAGAAAGATGGCTGCTCTTCCAGAGGATCCTGGTATGATTCCAATACCCATGTAGTGGCTCAAAACTCTCTATAACTGCTGTTCCAGAGTCTCCAGTGCTCCCTCCTGGTCTCTGTGGACACTGAGCATACTTGTGGTACAAAGACATATGTGCAGGCAAAACACCCAAACACATAAAATAAAATAATAAAAAATAAAAAATTAACTTCTAGAAATTCCATTCCTTTTATGTCTATAGATCACTGGTTAGTCCAGAACAGACTCCCCACCATGGCTTCCTAAGGGGCATCCCTTAACTTACCATTGCCTCCCACGGCTTCCCGAGTACCATGGTGACACACTAGAAGGATGTCTGACCTGATTCTGTTGTTCTTGGTCCTCCAGTGGTCTGTCCACCCATCTCCACTCCTCAGGCTTTTCAATTGACCAGCTACATAACTTTGCCAAAGCTACCTACCCTCTTGGATGATATGTATATATTTTTAAGTTATTTGTAGCAATAGATCCAGTATTTATTTTGGAGACTTGCTGGGAGCATGTCTCCATGAGGTGATGAAGATGCAAGACATCCATGTTCTTGTGTGATCTTTCCTTGCCTCTGGGGCACAAATATGCATAAAGGAAGCTTGCTATGTCTGGAAAGCAAGCATTATCCCTTTCTTTTGGTAAAGTATCTTAGTTGCAGACCCTGTAAGAAACCATCAGGCATGTGCCTTCAAAGTATCAGTGGCTGGGGCACTGCCTACCAACCCCAAACCCCTTTTGGTGAAAGGATTCCTCTAGACACGTGGATTCTGCTGCAGCTCTGACTGCACCTGCAAAGGCTGAAGAAGCACACACCTCAGAGAAAACCCACAAGTAGAGGCTGGTGAGGTGGACTTGAGTGTTCTTGGCACGCATGAGAACCATCGGCCGTTGTTGAAGTTGATGAGAGGGGGGCTTGGGTAGATGGTGACTTGTTCTGGGAAAGGATGCTTCCCTGCTCGGATCCTGCCCTGTCAGCACTGTCCCATAACTCCTGCGCTAGAGAGGGCATGTGACCCAGGCTCAGGCCATTTCACCAACCCCTCCTGAGAAAGAGGAATCTCATTATCCTTTGCCTCCTTGCATATGGGACACAGTCCTGGAGCCATTGGTGGCCCTTTTATCCCAACAATGGGAAGAGGGTGACAATGGAATAGTGGGTGATAGTGGGGTAGAGGGGCATTTGGTACCCTGAATCTAAATGCTTCAAATAAAGCTTTTTACTTACTTGGGGGAATAAATGTGTAAGTTGGGTGTTCTTGTTGCCCGTAAACTCATCCCACACCAAAGCCATAACTGACTTCTTAAACATCCACATAGAATACCGAATACCGAATGACAATGACTGTAAGAAGCCAAGTACAACCAGGCTGGCCCAAGGCCCACTCTGATTGACTTATGGTATGTCTTCAACAGATTTTGATTCACTCCTGTGAGAAATTCCCAAGTCAGAGAAGACCATCCTGCCATAGCCCAGGGCAGAGCTGGCAGTGGACAGCCTTGACTTGGCATGGTGCATTTTGCTGGTTGTTGGTGTTGAGGACCTGGGAGTCCCTCCTCCCGATGATGCTGTGCTCACTCTCTTCCTTTTATTCAGTCTGGGATCCCAGCACACAGAATAGTGAGTCTTCCCACCCCAGCTAAAGTGTTTGGAGATACCCTCACAGACATTCCTAGAGGTTTGTTTCCGAGGCGACGAGATAACCTGGGAAATTATAATGCAGAAAATAGTTGTACAGTGCAGTTCAAGTTAAGAGAAACCAGCAAGGAGGCCCAAGCACCCTGGGTTAACAGCAGCAAAAGCCATTAGCATCCCTGAACACCAGGACAAGGGAAGGAGTTGTCTAACCATAGTCTAGCCTAAGGGTACATCTGCTCCCCACCTGCCTGAAACCACAGCAACCCACTTAACTAGGCAGTTAAGTGCTCTGGCTTAATTTTTTTTTCTGCCAGTCAATCTCTAGTGGCTGAGCCCCACCGTTAACCAACAGCTAGGGAACCAACTGCTGCCATCCACAGGGGCCAGGCTCCTGGGGACACTGAGATGCAGACAACACAGGATCTGGTGGAGCAAAAAGAGACAGCTCAGCCACAGTGAATTTGTGTGGTCTTCTCACTGCCGTGTCCTGGTGCGGGAACCTGAGGGTCCAAGCAGTGTGCTGCCTTCTGAGGGTTCCAATCTCCCAGGGAAGGGCCGAAGTGCTAAAAGAGGCGGGGATTATGGCCAATTTACCTGTTTCTTTGTGCTTCCTACTTGATGTGCTTCTCAAGATTTTTTTTAATGGACTTGGGGCAGGGAGCAATGACAAGAAAATCACCTTTGTCTTTCACAGACGGAATTGCGTGCTGTTTCAATCTCCTCAGTGTCTTGAGATGGCCACTCTGTAGTCTGGGACAGCCACTGCTACCTAGGTCCTTTATAGCATTCAGTCATTCTGTATCTTTGGGGCTAAGTACAGGCCACCCTTGTTCTTCCCTGAGCAACGGCAGCAGCAGGCAGAGCATGGATACCCTTAGTTTTCCCATCTGTGTCATGGGCTGGCAGTCCTTACAGGGATGGTAGGCAGGGAGGGGGGCCATGTCGCATCCTTTTAAAAATTGTACACGATATTGTGAATATGACACTGGAATCTTGCTGCTGTGCTTTGTGTGATGTCTCCGAAGGTTCTTGTGAAATGTGTTTGGAGCAACAGTGACACCCTGTGGTCATTACTCACATTGCATAACATGTCCGTTTCCACCACACCTCTTGTTTCTCTACCCGCTAACATTTCATTTATTTTTTCATCCTGTGTTTCAATATGAAGGTTCCCTGTATATATGTTTATATTAAATGTATGTGTATGATATATTATATATAATTTATGCATCATATAATATACCATATTAAATATTAACATTCAATAACTATACTTGTATTAGTCATTATTATTGGCATGATTTAGCTTTATATATTTATATAAGTTATGTGATGCATTTATATAATATATAAATGTTAACATAAATTAATGATTGACAGTCCTATAATATCATGTTCCTATAATATCATGCTTAAACAATATTCATGTTTAAATTACTCCCAATTAAATAAAATTTAAAATTCGATTTGTCCCACATGGCTGGTGGCTGCTATACTGGATGATAGAGATCAAAGGCTATTTCCATCCCACAGGAAGTTGGACTGGGAAAGGCTGCTCTAAAAAGGGTTGCCCAGTGCTGTGTGGCTGTTGGAGGTTGACTGGGCATAACCCCCTGTAGGAGATGGGGGTGGTTTTCCAGCCAGGGCAGAGGTCATAGCATGTTTGGCTAATGTGATGATTTGATACATTACTGCCCCTACATACCTGATCAGTTGTCACCCCACAGAGCAGAGAAGTTTCTAGAAATGTGCCCCCGATCTTGTGAGTAGATACCCAGAGGCCCGGCAGCGCTAGGGTAGCTTGGCCACCCTCAGTGGGAGGGTGAGAGCCTTGTGTATGGGGTCTGGCGGGTTTTGGCGTGTGGTCTGTCAGGGACCCCACTGGAGGGAGAGGACAGATGAGCCAGCACTAACTAGGAAAGCCTTTATTCTCCTTCAGCGGCCCTTCCGGGCACTCTCACGGTTAACCCTCTTCTGGGACATTGAGCCTCTCCTTCACCCCACAGGCCACCACAGCGAAGAAGAACTCGGGGAAGAAGGTTCGGATGAACACGGCGGCCTTGGGGATCGGGTTGGCCATGAACACCTCTTGCTTCTTCCTCCGCACCGTGCGCATTACTTCCTCAGCCACCTCCGCCGGGTGCACGCCATAGGTCAGCTTCCTGCAAAAGACTAAAAGCACAGGCGGGGACGGCTGCGACCGGTTCCGGTTCCCAGACTACGGAGATGCTTGCTTGCATCTTTAAAGTCATGGTTCCCTGGCACTCTGCTGTCGTCAGCCTCAACCCTGGGCAAGACCCTTCACCTTCCAGTCTTTGCGGCTTCATTTGCTGTCTCACTTCCTCCCTGGTGCCTCCACAGTGCAGGGGATGGGATGAGCTTGGGCAATAAGAAGGCGAAGGAGGGCCTGTCATTTATGATGGTAAAGCTGTGTTTGCCTAGGGTCTATGGCGCTCCTTGCTCTGTCCTCCAGCCCAGTTAAGTCCCAATGCAGACCTGGAGCTTTGAGTAAGGGATGATCTCTGTTGTTAGAATATTCTAGAATCATGTACTGTAGAAGGGAAAATGGGGCCTAGCTCTATAAAGGACTCACCTTTAAGTGGTGGCAGCCTGAGGGACAGGCAGTCCTGGCTGGGAAGGTTTAGCTTAAGTCCAATCAGAGCTCAGAAAGAGGGAGTGGTGTGGTTCTTAAAGACCACATGCTGGTTCTTAGGTCTGGGAAAAGCTGTGGAGCAGGGTGAGTGTCCAGCTTAGCCCTGCCAGGGCCTGCTGGATGCAGCTTAGGTGTGCTCTCTACCTGGTACCTCAGGTCTAAAGGTTTAGCTTCTCCACCTCCCAACTTAGGGTTCTCCTTTCCACTCTTACATTTACAAATGGATGACTCCCAGTTTCTTTGCTCAGGATAAACATGGTAGGAGCGGATGAAAGTCGGGCTCACGGTGCTGACCACAACATCGTACTCCTCAACCTCGGCTCTCAGGCAGTCAAAGAAACCCATGATGGCATGCTTGGAGGCTGCATCTGGAGGAAAAACCAGCCAGAGGTGGGTACAGGAAGGGCTCTGACCCTGCTTCTCTGGGGTTGCACTGTCCACAAGAGGGCAGACATGCGCCTTCCTCCGAGCTCAGAGCTTTCAGGGACCACCAAGTTCCCAGGGTTAAACTGTAACAACTAAGTCATCTCCATCTCAGTGGATCTCTGTTTCTGTTGTGTGGCTCGCTGTCTCTTTAATTTAAAGCAGCCCTCAAGACCCACAGGTTCCCCAACCATGAACTGGAATACTCAGAAAAATAACTGCATGTTTCCTGAACAGGACACTGTAGCAACTTCCCCATAGCTGTTTCAGGTATTTTACACAATCCAGAGATGATGGAAAGTATGCACACTGGTTCTAAGCAAATACCATTTGCAGGGTGTCCTAGAACCACTGTTGCCACGGATATGAGAAACTATTACACACTGAATGAAGAGACAGAGGAGCCGTTGTGCCCACTCTATGAAGTGTAAAGGAGATGCTGAGAGGCCCTGTGATGGCACTAGGTTCCACAGCCAAAGGTGAAAAAGCATTGACTAGAATCCTGACCTCCTATCCTCTATGCCTCAGTAAGACCACCCTGTGAGCTCACAGTAGACCCAATTCTACATTCATGAAAATAGGGACGTTTAAACCAAAGCCGCCTCTTCACACCACCAAGAGGGCTAAAATCTGGATGGACCATCACAAGTGTTGGTGAGTACAGGAGAAATCAGAACCCTTATGCAATGAATATAAAGCATGTGTCTGCTCTGGAAAAGGCTTGGGTAGTTTCTTATAAACACCTAAATATAATTCCTTCCCTAGGTTTGCACCTTGGAGAAAAGAAGCCATGTTCTCAGAGAAACAATGCATGTGTGTCCACAGAAGCATTACTCATAATTCCAAAGTGGTGTCCACAGATTGCCATCAGTAGATGAACAGATAAATAACATGCAGTATATCCAAGTAATGGAGGATTTGCCATTTTCAATTGAAAAGATGGCAAGAAATTTTGATGCATGCTACAACATTGTGCTAAGTTAAAAAAAAACCACACACACACACACACACACACAATCTGTAAGAGTCAATAACAGTCTGTCATGGGGGTGGAGGTGGTCAGGAGGTACCACCCCTCTCTGAGGATGTATAGGTGGCTACTTGTTGGTGGGGGTTGGGCAAAGACATTTTCTTTAGTGGTGCAGCCCATGCTCCTGTAAGGTAACTCTTCACCCGTCCCCTGTCAGTAATGTTTGTTCATGTCTCCCAGGAAAAATAAATTACAAAGGTGGAAATGTTTCCAGAATTTCCCAACAGTGCCCGAGTCTCTTCCATGCACATCACACTTTTGGAGCTTCCCATCCCCTGGGATTCTCAGTGGCAATGATCATGTCTCAGATAAATCTCTTTCGATATGATGCCGCTGCTGCTGCACAGAGCTCCACCACTGGGTTCCACTCCTTTCCTTCTTCCCTTCTTTCTTCAGAGCATGTCCCTCATCTATCTGTTTTATAATGTGTACCCATCCTTCTTGTCCCCAGTTCTAGTCTGTGGGGACAACTTCATAGAGGAAGAAGCGTTTGAGCTAGGACTATACATCTATATAAGAGTGCAACCTTCACCGGCAATGTCATGTTGAAGCAGTGTGTGTGTGTGTCTTTCTACCTGCCGGACCGCACTTTGGGAGGAGAGGAACCTTGTCTACAATGTCCCAAAATCAGGGAACTGAGACATGAAAGAAATCCCAGCTGACCCATCCCATCTCTGGACAAGATACCCCTTATCCTATATGGTCCTTTGCCTAGTCTAGACCTAACGGTGCTTACTCTGATACAAAACGTACAACAAGGACACCCTCGCCCGCCTTTTTATCGCCTTAGTGACTTACAAGCTGTGCGGAACGGGATCCCAAACTTTGCTTGGATGTTGTTCACTAGCACAATCTGGCCTGTCCTCCTGGAGATCATGTTGGGAAGTATAACTGGAAAATACAAGGAGTCCCAGTTAGAAGTCTGCGCTAGGTAGAGGCAGAGTCCCACCACCACCCACTTTGTTACCCAAGGCTCTGTTACCTCTTTGCCTTTTAGATGGCAAGGGACAGAGATGGAGTGATTCCAGGAAGTCACTGACCCTGTGTTTTTGAGAGACCAGTTGGCTGGCACATTTCTGGGTGATTTGAAATGACCCTCCAGCATACTAGTTAAATGACACAGAATTTGATAGTAGGTAGGATCTCTCTCTATCTCCTATACTTTCTTCTCTCTTTCCTCTTCCCTTCCCCCCATCTCTCCTACTTCCCTCCACTTCCCTCCCATTTTTCATCTTCCCTTTCCTATTTTCCACTTCCCCCTCCTCCAGTCTGGGTCATTGCTCCATGCATCTTGGAAGGCATTTTCTTTTCACATCTCAGTTCTTGTTGGTTCCAATAGGTCTCTTCTGATGTTTTAAGACAAGGTATACAGTGAAGGCCAGCCTGGAATTTACTGTGTAGCTCAGATAGGCTTTGAACTTGTGATCCACCTGCCTGGGCCTCCCACTGCTGGAATTACAGGTGTGCACCACTATACCTGGCCTCCAGCATGTCTTTAATTCCTCCTCTTTTGTAGGTGTTAATCTTTAATTGAAGAGAAGGAAGAGCAAATGTCCTCTAAGCTGTCTGGGAAGATTTGCTGAGTTCTTAGGTGGCTTCCCGTTGACTGAGTTAATAGAGTTTAGATGTATGCTATTATGATGCTATTCCTTCCTTTTTCAGATGTAATATAAAGTGAAGATATGTGGAGAAAGATGGGAAGAAAATAAACAGCCCTGGTAGAATGGAAAGACATACAAATGAAAGGGGGTGCTTAGATTTGGAGCCCAGCCCTCCTCATTAGAGAAGAGCAAAGGGGAGGGCCCAGAGCTCCCACCCGACCCTGGTCCCTCAGCCCTTGACAGGCCCACCCAGAAGAAAACAGTTGTGATGGCTATCCACGGTTGTCGACTTGATTATGCCTGGTATTAACTAAAACACAAGTATCTGGGTACAGCTGTGAGGGATGTTTTTTTTTTTCTTAAAATCATTAATTTTTTTGTAGTGGGAAGTTCCCCCTTTAATCTGGGCCACACCTTCTGCTGGCAACCTGTGTAAAGGACATGGAAGAAGCAAGCTTGCCCTCTCTGGTTGGCAAGTCTATTCCTTCACTAGCATTAGGACTGACTTCTTTGGGATTCCAGCAAATACTGAAGACCAGTTGAGATATCCAGCCTTGTGTACTGAACAGTTACTGGATTCTTCGCCTTTCTGTTGGTAGACAGTCATTGTTAAACTAGCTGCCAGCCTCTCTCTCTCTCTCTCTCTCTCTCTCTCTCTCTCTCTCTCTCTCTCTCTCTCTCTCTCTCTCTCTCTCTCTCTGTCTCTGTCTCTGTCTCTGTCTCTGTCTCTCTGTGTATTATATATTATAAGTTCTATTCCTCAGAGAATCTTGACTAAATACAGTGGCCCTGGCCTTTCTCAGGCTATTCTTTTCATTCCTGATTTGTCGTCACTGAGTGACCCTGCCAGAGGTTGATGGAGTGACATGCCTTTTCTGGCCTGCTTGGGTTACAAGGACAGGGATGGGGGAAAACTGCTCTTTTTCTTTTTTGTTGAGACAGAATCTCACTATGTGGTCCAGCCTGACTTCAAATTGATAATCCTGCCTCAGCCTCAAGAATGCTGGGAATAGAGGCTTCTGCCACCATGCAGAAGCCTCTAGAAATGTGTTATTTCTGGAGTGCCATCTAGAAGCACTACAAAGTCAACTTCCTGCCTCTGGTGGCTCTTTCCCTCTGCCTCGGAGGTCTCAGCTTGGGAGCCAGCTGCAAGGAAAGTGACCTGAGAACACGTCCTCACAGTCACAGCCAGGGCTCCAGGTCCCCACATAGGCACACGCTCCATGCTCATGCTGTCCTTCACTTCTGCTGTGGAACACATTCAGGTTTTGGAGGGGGAAGGTCAATTTATGATTCCCTTCCATGGCCATCTCCCACCCTAACCCAGACTGCAGACCTGAGTTTGAACACAGCTATGAGAAATCTCTATCTGGATGACTTTTAGGCCCTCAGACAGGTCCCCATGCAGGCCACTGCTTCTCATGTAAAGGACACACATTCATACACACCCTGTTTTGGTGAAGGGATCAAAAGTATATTGAGGAGCTTTCTTGGGGTGAAGAACTCCATCTAGAACTAGATGGCCACCTGGTTCTTTCCATAGCATCTGGTGGCCCACAGACCCAGAGGAAAATGAGACTCACAGGACCTTTGGTGAAGGTGATGGGTCCAAAGTAGTTGGCATCCATGATCTTTTTGTCAAGCTCCAGGGAAATCTTATGGGCAGGCCCCTTCACTTTCACACTGGCATTGTTGATGAGGATGTCCACACAGCCATAGCAGTCCAGGACCTCTTTGGCCACATCTTGAACACAGCTGATGTCTGAGAGATCCAAGAGGACCAGCTTTGGGGTGAATGTCTGCTGGAGCAAGGAGAGAATCAGGATATGTTTGGGATCACCTCCTTGGTGATGTTGGGGGCCTTCAATCAAACAGCACCCCTGCTGGGAATTCAAAGTCATAGACATGGGAAAACAAACCAAGACAAAGAGGGAGAAGTAAAACACCTCAGGGATGAAGGAGATTGCTGGGGAATCTAGTTTTGGAGGCCAGGGCCACAATTAAGTATGGATAAGCAGTAGGAAGTCTGAATCTGTGGCCTGGGCTCCTCAGCTGATTAAATCATTCTTGACAACCAGGTGACCCAGGTGACCCTTTGGAGGCTGTGACCTGGCTCTGGTGTTGGTGTTATAACTCTGAACACTGCCGGTTTCCTCTTCAAAATTACTTTCCCATTTGGTTTATAAGTTACAAGAAAATTCAGCACAGAAGCAGCAGACACCCCTTGTTTTGGATCTAGATGGTATATTCAACCCAGTGCTTTTTGAAGCATCTGTTAGTGCTGGGTGCTGCACTTAGTTCTGGATACTTGCTGTCCTCAAGATGTTACTGGTTTAGAAGTAAAGATGAGGGGGCAGGGCTTGGAGTACCCTGGGGTCAACGCCACTTTGGGGCAAATGTTAGTTCTGACATATACCCTTGAAGAGAAGATTCCCATTGCGGGTCATATTTGTTTGGGAAACATTCACTGATCCCTAAGTTCTTTGGGGAGATAGACACTCACATATCAAAGGCTCTGAAAAGACAAACTGACTAGAACTCAATATTTCCCACACAACTTGATTTTTACCGAAAATCTAATAACATCGCAAGAAATTTTCCGTGTAGCATTCTGTGTGATCTGATTGACCCAGTTCTTCAAGTGCTAGGTTTAGCTCTGAATTCCTTTGAGCTGCTTGCAAACACCATTTTTAATCTCAGTAATAAGGGTTGGATTTTTCTTTTTAAAGAGTGCTGAAGACAACACCTATATCCTGGGTGACTTAGGAGGGGAGTTCCATGATTTCTTTGATGCTACTGTCACTTATGTTGTTTGTCTTAACATCAGTTATATTTTTAGTCATAACCCACAGCTGGGACACTGGTTATCTGCATTTTTTGCTGAGTCTGACTCACATAGATTTGGGGGACCAGTGCCAAAGTTTTGCCACTGTGAGTTATCAAAACAAGCCAATGACTTTTGTTGGACAGTGCCATGGACTCTGGTTTCTCTGGGTCAATGTCATAGACTCTGGGTTCTCCAAAGCCACATTTCTCCAGAACTGCTCCTTAACAGTGACAGAGGCTCAGGGTATCTCAGGCTGTCTGGAGAGGGCCTTACCTTGCTGGGGTCAGCCACACTGGTCAAGGTAGCGTAGAGGCTCTCCAGCCCCTCCCAGTTCTTTCCGCACAGCACCAGTCTCGCCCCACCTGCATGGAACACTCGAGCGCACTCTGTGGAGAAGAGGAAGGGAGGCAGTGTGGACGGTGTCAGTGGAGCCATAGAGGGGAGCTCCCTTCTTAGGAACTCCTGACGTCAAAAAATCCTGATGTCTCGTCGGTCACCAAGAGGTCCTCTTTCTGGAGAAGTCATTTCACTTGACCCCTCCTCAGGCTAGATGTTTTTGGCGTCCTGAGGAATGAACCCCAACCTCGCATGTGTTAAGGGATTGCTCCAGCACTGAACTGTACCCTAAGCTAGGCTGGTTTGTTTGTGTGTTGTGTTTCTAACCTCAGCTAGGTTGGTTCCCTGAAGGGAAGGAAGCTCACAACAGGGAGCAGCAGCCTCTGCTTTGCTGGGCAGTTCTGATAATGAAATGCCTTCTTGTACTGAATGGAGAGAGTCACTAGACTTTGAGACCACAGCTGTAGGGACGCCTCAACTTACAGAGATTGGTAAGAGGTACCATGTCTATTTAGACTGAATACCACCCATCCCTCCACATTTCCTCTGTGGATAGAGACTCTAGTTAACGGCTCTTTGCTCACAAGAACACTCTACACAAAGATTTAGAGTAAAGAATACATCAATTGGTTGTCCAGTGCCAAATGGTCAGCCCTGAAAACACACACACAAGTAACATTATTTGAACTCAACAGGTTATACTTATATACATGTTTATACAAACGCTTGTATGTTTGCAATGTCAATTAATGAAAAAAGAGTTCATGAATTTGAAAGAGAGTGGGAGGGGCATATGGGAGGTTTTTGGAGGTAGGAAAGGGAAGGAAGAAATGTAATTAAATTACAATCTCAAAAATAAACAAAAAGATGCTGGGTGGTGATGGCGCACGCCTTTAATCCCAGCAGAGGCAGGCAGATCTCTGGGAGTTCAAGACCAGTCTGGTCTACAAGAGCTAGTTCCAGGACAGCTTCAAAAGCTACCAAGAAACTCTGTCTCAACCACCCCCCAAAAAAACAAAATAAAAAATAAATTAAAAAAATGTTGACTTTGCTTTATGTTTCACTTGGAACTATTTACTGATTAATCCAATGTAGGGCTTTCTTTAATTTTTAAGTAGTTCTTTATTTATTTTGTATACAAGTTTGCATGTTTTGGCATGTGCATGCTTAGGTACATATGTGGAGATCAAAGTAAAACCTGTGGGAATCTGTTCTCTCCTTTTACCATATCTGTCTCAGGGATGGAACTTAGGTCACCAGACTTGGTGGCAAGCACTTTTTCCTATTGAGCCATCTCTAGGACAACAGCTGGCAGATATACAATGTTGACAAGTAACAATAATCCTGACATTTTAGAACAATGAAAGCTCACATGTTTGGACAGTTTATTTGTCCTAGGGATGATTGGGAGAGACATCCATGTATTGCTCAGCTAATTCTTACTATGGCCATGGGAGGTTCTAGCTTACACTGGGGCTCTATGGTGGTTATAATAGGAGTGGTCCCTATAGACTCATGTGCTTGAATGCTTGGTCACCAGGGGAGTGGCACTACTAGGAGGTGTGGCCTTGTAAGAGTAGGTGTGGCCTTGTTGGAGGAAGTGTGTCATTGGGGGTAGGCTTTGAGTTTCAAATGCTTAAGCCAGACCCAGTGTCTCTTGTTGTCTCCTTATCTGGATGTAGAATTCTTGGCTCTTTCTCCAGCACTGTGTCTACCTGCATGCTACCATGCTTCTCATCATGATGATAATGGTCTAAACCTCTGAACTGTAAGTCAGCCCTGATTTCCTTGTAAGAGTTGCTGTGGTCATGGTGTCTCTTCATAGCAATAAAATCCCAAGACAGTTTCCTAAAGCAGCGCTGGCATAAAGAGAGTCTCACCTGCATGTGAGAGGACCAGCCTTTGCACACTTCTGTCCATCAGCTACTGACTACATTGTCCCCTCTTGGAGGAAGTGCCCAGATGGCAGCACTATAAAGCTCCCAAAACTAGAGCAAAATGTTAACAGTTCCAACATAGGTGAGAAATACTGACAAATATCGAGCCAGGTATTGATGAGAAAAGATAATGTATTTAGCCAGTGGGAAAAGAAAATACTACTTAAAAAGATTGGTGCTGGTGAGATGGCTCAGTTAAAAGTGAGTACCACTCTTGAGGAGGACCTGAGTTCTTAACACCTATGTCAGCCTGCTCACAACCACCTGTAATTCTAGCTCCAGGGGATCAGATGCTCTCTTCCGGCCTCCAAGGGTACTACATTTACATGCATACATTGTCCTACACACACATCCACATAATTAAAATAAAATGACTCTTTAACAAGTGGTGCTTGGATGCCTGTTTGGGAGCTCAAAGGCTAGACACTAAATAGTTAAATGTAAAAAGAGCTAGAGATGAATCTGCTCTTACATTGGGGAAGGTCTGAGCATGCCCAAAGGAAATTATATCAGGCTTGATTTATAGGTTTTATCCTTAATTTATTTTACATCAAAGACATAAATAAAGAGCAAACAGATTAAGAACAGTATTTGTAGCCTACGTGTCAGCAAAGGGCTTATTTATTCAATATGCAAAGGACTTTTACAAATAAGAAGAATCAACCGGGAAAAAGGAAAAAGAACACAGTTAATGGATAGAAGATTAAGAGTCAGTAGCCATGGCATGATAAAGAGATGCAATTTAAAGCACCCACTAATTTTGATCCATCAGGTGATGAAGGACAAAACTGATTGTAGTCTTACCGAGATGTGAGCAGTGGGTTTGTCGCACATTCACTTTAGTGTGTGTCTGCGTTGCTACAGGGTCTGGGAGGAAATACTTGACTGTACCCTTCACAGGGCTTTGTTTCATCAATTTCGTTTATGGGTATTGCTTCTAAAGTTGCCATTAAGAAAGCCTGCACAGACACAGCTTTAATATTGCCCATCTCAGTACCATGCCAACAGTAAAACATGGACATGATTGAGAATGTCCCATATAAGAGGACTTGGGTTAAGCCAACTACAGTGCATCTGGAAAGAATACTTTCAAACCCTTAAAACTGATTTTATAAAAATGAATCTGTTGGCATGAAAAGAAATTCATATTAAGAGCATTAGAAGCAGCTTATCTGGGGCTGGAGAGATGACTCAGTAAAGGGCATTTACTACTCTTAACAGAGGACCTGAGTTCAGTTTCCAGCACCCACTTTTGACTTATAAATGCCTGCAACTACAGTGTTGGGGGGAATGACTGTCTCTTCTGGCCTCCTTGTGTATCTGTATGTGCAAATACCCCCCCCCCACATAAATAAATCTTATTTTAAAGGTGTGTCAAATACAACATTATAACTTGAATGTGCATGTTTGTGTGTAAAATAATGTAGTAATGTATATTGTGTTGTTAACAGGGCATTCAGTTGGAAATTTCAGAGGCACTAAGATACAATACATATCAAATTCCAAAGTTGGTTTCTAGTTCAAGATGCATGCTTTCAAAAAAAATAACCACTTTATTAAGTTCATTTCTTTTTCCCTAAAATAAGACATAAATGGATCAAGGAGGAGGAGGAGGAGGAAAAAGAGACAGAGGAGGAGGGAAGGAGGAGAGGGTCTTAGGAGGCAGGCTTCTCAGTGGAGGACAGTATGAGCTTTTGCCCATGGACCAGGACTGGGATGTTCTTCTTCCCAGATCACCTCCAGGAGAAGAGGTATCAGTGGGTCCTTTGAATGATTTTCTAAGAGTTCCCTACAGCTAAGAACCCAGACCAGACAGGTTTCTATGGAGTTGCCTGCCCTTAAACCAGGGCTCAAGGGAAGTAGAGCCACGGGAGAAGCCCACATGCTTCACATCCCAGAGGAGCAGTTGGATGTTTCCATGGAAGTCTCCAAGTGTGCCCATAATAGAAAGGAAACATGAGGTGCCCACATTGGCTTAGTGCTGGGGTTGAAATGAGAGATTTCCTATGTGTCAAGAAAAGACATTCTCACTGAGTCATACTCCCAGTCATGTGCCCTGCCCATGTAGCTTGGAGCCATCTTATAACCTGTCCCTCGGGTAAGCACATCCCTTGCTCTCCTCTGTGTCCTCTTTTCTGTTTCTTTATCCCTAGAAAGGTCAGAAACAATAGGAGGCTCAGGCCAGGGAGATGGGGATGGGAAAAGAAATCAAGGAAAATGGACACATTGGTTATGAATCGGGCCTGTTGGAGATGTGCCATGATGGATGGATTGTGTCTAATGTGCATTGTATATAATGTGTGGTGTATATAATGTCAATAATCAGAAAGTCAGGAGACAGCCTGGCCTTTCTTTTCCTCCCAGCTGCAGGGAGCGTTTCCCATCTGGGCTGATTTGAATGGCTTGAACTCTCCCACTGCATTCTCGGTCCCCTCCCACAGTACTGACTGAGCTGTCCGCCTCACCAAGGAGCAGAAAGGAAACAGAGCCAAACATCCGCACAGGATGCTCCCCAGGGAAGCAGTTGCATGTGTGCTTTGTGTTTTATTACTTAAAAATTCATCTTTCATAATTACGGTCTTGACAATTATGGAATTGTTGTCCCTTGGTTTGGAGGGAGAAGGCCCAGCTGTGGCTGTGAGTGCCTGAAGCAGACATGCTGGGTGTGAGGCAGCCATGGTGACCAAACTTCCCGTGTCAGAGCAATGGGTTACAAAGGTTGGGAGGAGTTTCCCACATTTCCACCACGGCTGATGGGTGAGAGGAATGGAGACGTGACTCAGAAGTCTGACGCCCTTCACACTAGGCTGCCTCTTGACCAATCCCCACTACTGAGAGGGGAACAGGCTGGGGTTCACTGTTGCTCACTCACTCCCTTTCCCAATGATGGGATGTGTCTGCAAGTTCTCGATGAGTTGTCCAGGTTGGTCTTGAACTTGCCATCCTCCTGCATCGGCCTCCCCAGCAGCTGGGCTTAGAGGCCCACACCAACAGTGTCACTTTGAAGTTCTTACTTTTATTCTTGTTTTTGTCATTTTTGAGACTGGGTCTCACTGCTTAGCCCAGGCTGGTTTCCAACTGAGTGATCCTCCTGCTTCAGTCTCCTGAATGCTGAGGTAACAGGGTTGATGGTTAATCTTGTCAGTTTGACTAGCTTTGGGATCACCCAGGAGACCGAGGCACACCTCTAGGTGTGTGTTCGTAGGGTGATTTTGAGAGGGACAGCCGAGGGGCACAATCACCCTGAATGTGGATGACACCGCCCCACAGGCTGGAGGCTTGGAGCCAATGAGGGGGAAGTTGGTGGATCATTCCCTGGCTTTGCTTCCTCATTGGTGGTGATGTGAACTTAGCACTTCTCTCTTGTCCTGCCTGCCATGATGGACCAATCCTCTGAAGCTGTTCTTTCTGTCCTGTCTGGCATTTGGTGGTGGTGCCCAATCTTACATTTATTCATTTATTTAACTTATTTATTTTTGAGACAATATCTCAGGTAGTCCCAGCTGATCTCAAGCCCACCATGTAGCTGAGGACCACCTTGAATTCCTAATCTTCCTGCTAGAATTACAGGTGACCACATCCAGCTTTAGTTTTTTATCAGCTCAGCTCAGCATTTATCTCACATCGAGCATTTCAACACCTACTGTGCCCTTTCCAACTAATAAACACAGGCTGGGTGCTTCCTTATGTATTTCCTCCGATCTAAAATGTGTAAAGTGACTTCTGATTCATGAGACAGTGAAGGGAGAAAGGCTGACCTGTAGGGGCTGTGAGATGATGTCGTGGATGGCCGGGTTCCAGTGGTGTTTAAAGGGAAGGCTGGCATCTTGGGAGCTGTGAGAACACAGGCCAGGATAGCATCTGGTCCTCTCATCCTGAAGGTCAAGTCCAGTGCTTAGGTATTTTGATTGTCACTCTTGTCACAGACCCAGTGGGTACAAGATGGCATTGTGGTTGACTTGATTGACTTGTGATGGCTTGGGGCAAGGGCTGTTCCCTGGATTTCTCTAGTTTTTAACTTCCCACAGGTTTCACCCTGGTTCTAGGGTACTCAGGCACAGTATGGGCTGTGTATAAGACATTCTGTGCCCCTTGCCTTTTTTCTTGCCTCGAAGTTGAAATGGAGCAGCTGGTGTCTGGGATCGCTGTCATCAGCAGCACACAGAAAGCAGGCATTTATTTAAATCACACACACCCAGTAGCTCATGTTACTTGTAAATACTTGGACTTTATTCCTTTATGCTTTGCATTTCTGCAGGGTTGGGGATAGGGTTGGGGGGGGGAGGTGCAGAGTGTCAGTGAGATGCAGTGAAAGAGAATAGTGACCAGAATCTACAAACACCTGTGGTGTATTTCGGGGAGGGGGGGTCCTGGCTTATGTGTGACTATAACTCAATGAGATTAAAAAGACAACAAATGGGACTTTTGAAATAAATACACAACCTCACCAAAGGAGAACAGTGGTTCCATACAGTAACACAGAACATCACAGGGACAGAGGATCTGAATAACATTCTCAATGAGAGGATGCGGCCAACATTTGCAGGACCATCTGTCTACCCTACAGCAGAGGTCACATTCTTTCCCAGACCTCTGGAAACAGACTGCATGACAGGCCACAGCCGCACCACAAAGCAAACCTTGACAAACACAAAAGAACTGAATCACACAGTGCTCATTCTCTGACCATATTGGAACCAAAGTGGAAATCAATTAAACCGTTATTCACAAACACACTTATCTGGGTGCCTTCCCTGATCAAATGGCCTCTAGATGCTGGTCATTAAATGTACTGGGTTACTTGTCTCATTGTTGTGAACAAATCCTGTCAGGAACAATTTACGGGAATAAAGGTTTATTTAGGTCCAGGGTTGAGAGGATCCATTCTGCCAGGAAGGCACAGGGCAGCAGCTGGGTCTGTGGTGATGGAAACTGGAGGTGACAGCCTGTGTGGGGGAGGGGACTTGAGAAGGTATAACATTCACAAGCCTGCACTTCATGGCCTACTTCTGCCCGTTAGGCCCCTCTTTCTTCTTAATGCTGCCATCCTTTAATGCAGTTCCTCATGCTGTGGTGATCCTCAACCATAAAATTATTTCCATTGCTACTTCATAACTGCAATTTTGCTACTGTTATGAATCACAATATAAATATATGTGTTTTCTAATAGTCTTAGGTGACCCTGTGAGAAGGTCATTCGACTCCCAAAGGGGTTGCAATCCACAGGTTGAGAACCACAGTGACCAGGACCTAAAGACCCCACAGTTTCCAAAATAGCACTCAAAGCATGAGTCTGTGAGGGGACAGTACAGATTCAAGACAAAAATTAAAAACACTTATTGTTTACTAGACGGGAAGCTTTGAGGTAGGTGAAGGACACCAGGCTGATGGTGGTGAGCATGTGAGCATGCGCAGAGCCTTAGGATGCGGGAAGGCAGGTCTCCAGGGCCATCTGGAAGGATGGAACAGGTAAGGTGGCAGGGAAGGCTCCAGGGACCTGACCTGCTCCTAGACAAACATTCTACCTGGAGAAAGACTGTCACACAGTCCATGACTGAACAGCTTCAGGTAAGTTAGTCACCCTTGTCACTTTCCCAACAATACTGTTGTGGCTGGCCCTGGCAAAGACTGAGTTTGGGGTCTGTGTGTCACCTTTGGAGTGTCCCAATGAGTTAGGATAGTCTCTTTGGGAACTGCTCCAGAGGCCACAGGCACTGTGTTATGCTAAATGTGTTCATCTGCCACGGCTGACCTGAGGCAAACGCTCACTAAGACGTCACCCAGCCTCTTAGCAGGGAAACACGCTCCCTCTGGGGACATCCAAGAAACCTCAGAGATACGACCATAAAGTCTTCCCAGTGGCCACACCATGGGAGAAGTGCACCTCCCCCCAAGACTCCAGAAGAGGGAACGTTTAGGATAATGTAGACCCATTGACACCCGTCGAGGAGCTAGCGGATGGTTGGTTGAACGGGTCCTATGCTGGATTAAGTAACAAAAATAACAGCAGAAATTGTCATTAACTTATATAACAGTATTACACTGCCATCATTAGGAATAATAGAATCCTGCTAAATCGAGAGGATATTCCTGTCACAAATGCCACAAGTAGAAGAGCCCAGAAGGCTGTCTTACTTAGGGATTGTGAATGAAAGTGCCTTCAAGACCAGGTGGTGGGAAACAGTAGTCATGCGTGATAGAGAGCGTGACACACGGAGGAGGGTGGACTCTGTGAAAAGTGTGTTCATCGTGACCATCTCTAACGATACTTGAATTGTGGCCATGGTTGTTCCTTATCCCGCCCGTGTGCAAATCCATTTGCACATTCCAAAGTGGAGACTGCTGTCGTTCCTGATCTACACATGGGACATTGTGGTCATATAGGTGAAGGCACCTGCCAGTTAAGTGCTAGAACTAGGACTGGAATCCAGCACCTTAGTCTGGCCTCTTATCCGGTATGCAGCCCCAACTATGGTATGAACTTGACATTTCAAGGTCTCTGGAAACTCCCGCAGCAATCAAACCTAATACTTTGCTAACACCAAGCAACCCCAGGCATTCTGACCCTGCCATTCACTGGACAAGAAAACCTCAGTCTTCAGAGAAGAGCCCCTTAGGTTGATGCCTCACACCATCCTGCCTCCATAGGTTTCTTGTGGGCAGAGACGGACACACATCCAGGGGAGCCCAGCTTACCCTTTCCCAGTCCTGAGATGGCATCGGTGATGACCACCACTTTGTTCTGCACCGCAGACTTGGACCACAGCCTGGATGCTTCCTGATAAATGAAGAGCAGGCCGCTGATCCCCAGCAGCAGCAGGGGCAGCATCAGGACAGCCATGATCCCCATCTTGTTCTGCAGGACAGCAGGATGACAAACTTTGGCTTTGCAGAGGCCCTGATTGTAACACCCAGGGCAGGGGGAGGTTCAAGCTCCAGCATTCATTCCCTCCAAGCCCAGGATCTGTTCTCCAGGGAACTGGGCTCTGCAAGCTCCCGGGAGGTTCCTTCCAGCTGAACAGTAAGGAGTGTGTGAATCCCCAAATGCTCAACAAATAGAAATTACTCACGGTGTCTCACACTGGAGGAGTCCAGGGGGCCTGCCCTCCCCTAAGGCTAATTACAAATTTAATTAAAATGGGTCTGCATTTTTGGAAGGAAATCCATGTGTTAAGGCCACTTGCTTGGGCCCTAATGGTTATTTATAGCTCTCAGTTGCACTAAAGGGCTTTTCAGGGTAAATATAGTGTCTATTCTGATATTCAGGGACACATGCTAGCCGGGTCTAATTTCAGAGGTCTTGCCAGGACTTTTAAAGCTTTGCTGGCTGGTGGAACTATTAGAGTTTCCTCTGCAGTTTGGGCCGAGAGTCAGGGATCAGTCCCTGGGATTGTCAGCACAAATGCCTGTGCCTTTCTTTCCTGACCTGGGTTCTTGCAGGTGGCTCAGACGTTGGTGGACATGGAGTAATCTGGCCTTCCCTTCCTGAGTGGGCATGGGGATGAGAAGCAAAGAAAAGCTGGCCAGTGGAATGGAACCTGTTACAAAAAACTCACACAGAAATGTGGCATGAAGGAACACTGTTTAGGGAGCACTTCTTGTCTTTGCGAGGCTCGAGTCCCCTCTCTCTAAAATGAAAATGGTAGTTTTATTTTGCAGATCCATTGGGGTACAAAATAAGATCCTGCCTATCTTGAACCTGGCATAGATTCTGAGCCTCCATGAGGTAATTGTTGCTATCTTTTATGATTAAATATCTAAGGTATAAAGTAATTTATATAAGGAACTCAGTATGGCTAAGGCGTCAAAAGCCCAAGGCCCACCCCAGCATATTGTCTGCTACATTCTAAGGTTTACTTTTATTATTTATTTATTTATATGTATGTGTGTGTCTATGTGAGTGTATACCATGTTTGTGTGTGCCTGTGGAGGCCAGAAGAGAGTATTAGATCCTTTGTAATCTCCTGGTTACAGGTGGTTGTGAGTCATCTGGCCTGGGTGCTGGGAACCAAACTCAGGTCCTTTGCAAGGGCAGCAAATACTCTTAAATGGTGAACCACTTTCTCCAGTCACACGGTGGGGGATGTCTTTCTGTATATATGTTTCTCTTATTGGTTGATGAATAAAGCACTGTTTGGCCAATAGGGGCAGGAAGATAGGCAGGACTAAGAGACGAGGAGAATTCTGGGAAAGGTAGGCAGAGAGGTGTGGGAAGGAGACGCCATGTAGCCAAGGAAGGAGTTAATAGGTCTGGACCCTTCTCTGGTAAAACAAGACCATGTGGAAATACTTAGATTAATAGAAATGGGTTAATAATTAAGAGAGAGCTAGCCAGTAAGAAACCCTAGTCATCGGCCAATAATTTAATAATTAATATAGCGTCTCTGTGGGTTCATTTGGGCCTGAAGCTATGGGATCTGGTGGGACAAGAAAACTCTATCAACAACCACACAATATTTATACTGCAAAGAGAATGGGGCTGGGGTGGGAGTAAGGATGTGGTGGGAGTAAGGCTGGGGTGGGAGTAAGGCTGGGGTGGGAGTAAGGATGTTGTGGGAGTAAGGATGTGGTGAGAGTAAGGCTGGGGTGGGAGTAAGGCTGGGGTGGGGGTAAGGATGTGGTGGGAGTAAGGATGTGGTGGGAGTAAGGCTGGGGTGGGAGTAAGGATGTTGTGGGAGTAAGGATATGGTGGGAGTAAGGCTGGGTTGGGAGTAAGGCTGGGTTAGGAGTAAGGCTGGGTTGGGAGTAAGGCTGGGTTGGGAGTAAGGCTGGGGTGGGAGTAAGGATGTTGTGGGAGTAAGGATATGGTGGGAGTAAGGCTGGGGTGGGAGTAAGGCTGGGGTGGGAGTAAGGATGTGGTGGGAGTAAGGCTGGGGTGGGAGTAAGGCTGGGGTGGGAGTAAGGATGTTGTGGGAGTAAGGCTGGGGTGGGAGTAAGGCTGGGGTGGGAGTAAGGCTGGGGGGAGTGGTGGGTGGAGATAAGAATGACAGAAACTGCATTTCTTAGAAACTAGGAGCAATCAGGAATATTACAAACCCCATTTCTCTATTGGCATTTAGTGTATTTATTAGGGCTGTATAGTGATTGATGACTTGATGACAAACTTTTGTGTGACTGGTAGCTGCATAAACAAGTATAGTATAAATATGTCTTTGTGGGTCTCAGTCATTCCAGCCTCAATGGGGATCTACTTTCAAATCTTTAAATGGATGTATTAGTTTGCATTTGTTTGTGTGTGCATGCCTTTTCACTTGTAGGCTATTTAAGCAGAATCACAGAGTTGACACCCGTGCTCAGCATCACATTTGTGAAATTCATCCAACCTATGGTATAAAATTGGAACCTGTTATGCTTATTGTGTGAATGCGTCTCACATTTTCAGTTTGTTCTTCTGAGGATGGGTGTATGCAGGGACCCTGGGGCAAGTGTGCTCTGCATTCATTTTTTATTGATTATTTTTTTTTCATTTATACTACATACCAACCACAGTTTCCCCTCCCTCCTCTCCTCCTGTTCCAGCTCCCCCCCCCCCTGCTCCCATCCACATCCCCCCATTTACTTCTCTGTCTCTATTCAGAAAGAGGCAGGACTCCCATGGGCATCAACAAAGCATAGTGCTTCACATTCTTATGAGACAAAGAGGAGGCATTACATTGCAATGCAGACATGAAGAAAGATGGATGGTAGCCAGGGTTAGAGAGGTAGTTCAATAGTCACAGAGGTTAAGACAAGGGATTGAGGGCACAATTGTGTCTGTCAGTCTGAAACACATCAGGGAAGGTTTAGGCAAGGACCTCCATTTGGGGACTATCACAGGTATGTAGGAGAGTCATGCGATCTGAGTGAGAGCTTTGAAGAGACGTATCTGAAGGCTGAACACTTGGATGTTTAGAAGGTAGGGACTGGAAGAGGAATCAGCAAAGGTCAAGAAGAAGAGTGGCCAGTGTTCTGCCAGAGACCAAGAAGCCCCATGTTCTAGGAGCAGAGCACACAAAGGCTGTCTTGGGGCAACTGCTAAATTAAATAATCAGGAAGCTACGGGCCTGAGACTACCTCTGTTCTATGAGTTCATAGGCAACAAACTGGAATCTAATTTAGGAGACTTTTGTTTTGTTCTGTTTTAGTAGCAAATGGCCAAGTTCCACCCAAATCACAAGCAACCAAACCAATTTCAGTCAGCTGAATTGCCCAATAAGTTGCCCAATAGGGCCAAACTCACTGGAGCAGATCCAGTGATTTTTCTATGACCTTCCAGAGTCACCTGTAAAAGACTGCTGCTCATGTGCCTGGAACTACTGAGTTCTGAGTCTTGCCCAGTTCTAGTGAATTTCCTGAACATTTTTCTTTCAACAACTGATTTTCTGTGTTGAAGACTGTTGTTTGATCAAGTGAAGAGATGTGACTGTACCTTTAGCAGTGACTGACAGGAGCCTCTCAGGTGAAGGACACCTTGCATTCCCAGCTCTGCAGTGGACTTACTGTCAGTGGTTCTGCAATGTGCCATCCCTGCCTGGTGGTTCTCGACCTACCCACCCTCCCCAAACCTTAAGCGTTGAAATCTATCTTCCATATACCTTGAAATTTGGAGGGAAATGGCTACAACTTTGAAAGATTGCCCAGCCCAGCCAGCAATTCCTTCAGCATGTGGCTGAAATATACAAGGCCCCTTCCATATTACTTCATGGCCCTAGTGGGAAGGACAAGACTTCAGGTGTGAAGCTACAATCAGTCATAGATGGAGGTCCCAGGGCACCTTTGTTGTGTTAGTGACAATGTCAGTTCACTGCTTGTCAGGAGGTCTTACTTTCTTTACTCACCCCAGGACAGACATGGAGTTTTCCAACCAACATGCACTCTTCAGTTCACTGGGAATTCCTCCAAGTATCTGCTTTATGACCCTTTTGGGAAAGAGGACAGTTTGCTTAGTTTTGAAATTGTAGGGATTTTTTCTTCATTTTTGTCATGCTGGTATGGAACCCGGGTCTTGAGGATGCTAGACAAGCCCTCTGCCACTGAGCTGTAACCAGCTCTGAAATTATAATATGTTCTAAACCAAGTATCAAAAATAAAGGCTGAGTAGTTTGGTTATGTGGATGTTTAGGGCTAAACTGGAAAGCCTGGGGTGGGAGAAGAACCTTCTAGGTCAGAGCTGGTTTCACCCACTTTCTCCTCTTTGTCCCAAGCAGAAGTCACAGGCAGTTCTAAACGGAACCTGGAAGCTTCAGCACACACAGTTCATCAGTGAATCAGATGAACTTGGCACCTTCCTTCCAGCCTCTCTTACCCTTCATCATCCACATAGAAAGTCAAGTGCCCGGAACCATGCTGGTTCCCCCTGGAGAGGGTGAAGAGGGATGGGAATGGAAGGTGGCCTGCTAGGCCCCAGACTTCAACCTTTCTTTGGAAGTGGAGATACTGATACACAGTGCAGAAAGTTCAACACAAGTTGAGTAGTCCTGATGCAGAGACCTGACACCTCAAACCCAAAACAGTGTTAATGTGGCACAACAAGTGGAAATATTCATCTGCGATGCTCTATTTCATGCATGAAGTGATTTAAATTACAGCATAAATGCATTGCCAGGCTGTGTGTACAGGTGCACATGAAACACGAGTTTCATGTTTGGCTTGGGGTCCTTTCCCAAGACACCCTATTTCAGCCATGCAAATATTAAAACAAACAAACAAATGAACCATCTAAAAACCAACCAGAAACATCTCCACTCTGGAGGGTCCTGGCTAAGGGATGCTCCATCTTCCTCAGTGCACCATTGTTGAGGATCAGGGTGTAAGACATGGGCAGTGGCTAGCACCTTGACTGGGTCTGGTCCATCACTCGGACTGTACTAGTCTCTGCTTTCTGGTGGTTCTTTCTCTGGTTGCTCTTCATTCTCCTCCATGTCTGTCCTCAGTGCATGGCAGAACCATTCCTGAGGACATTGGGCATGTTTGATAGAAGGATGGATGCTGTCCTTGTGAACATAGGAAGTGCCACCTCTTGTAGGTCTTTGAGGTGTGGTGATACTCTTGGAGGTCACAGGTGAAGGATGATGGATGATATGG